CGCTATTTTGGACCGGCCCCGTCTCGGATGCCAAGGTAATCTATCAGTTTGTGAGTGTCTACAAAATGCAACTCTCTAGATAACAGGTTTAAAGTAAAGATTTAATACAGTCTCCATCTCCTATGATGTTGCAGTGACAGTTTAAAACTCATTCTCTAAATCTCAGCAGACTTTATAGCCAGCAGTGGGCCAATATAAAGTTTAATAGCATTACAACACATAAATCATCTTTTAAAGATGCTACTAGTAGCTCCAATATTAAATGCAGACAATCGCCTGTGTTATAAATAATTTATCAAACACCATTTCAGATTAGCCTTCCATGCTGAGTTATTTATTTTAGCCTTTTCTGTACGATTCCTAAGGCACTTTTTGAAAGATCCATTACTGGTCAGTTTAATGAACTTGGGGGTCTGTTTTGTCCCCTCAAGCACTCGGGTACAGCTGTGGTGACCATTACATGGCCGACATGGACCTCTTTGTGCCTTTTACAAGTGCTGCCCATTTGTCATGCAGCGGTAAATGGAGCTGCACATTGGAGTCCAGGGACACATTGTGCGATGCGTGATGGAGACAAACAGATAGCTCTATAAAGTGCTGCTTGTCACAGCTGACTTGTCGTGCAGTACATCACTCTGACTGTAATCTCATTGAAGAAGCAGGGCTGGCCCGGGGGACGGATATTCCCAGTTAGTTTGGTCTTTGTAGCTATAAAGCAGGAAGTGTTCCTTTTATATTCCCTGAACTTTTAGGGAGTGTGCTTTTTGCTGGGATTAATTATTATAGGAACTTTGGCGTGGCACCACAAGGAGATTTGTCAGCAGGTTTGTTCGGACCTCCTTCTCCTGGCCTGGGGCTTGGTTCAGGATGCTCTGAACTAAATCAGGCTTTTAGGAGCCCTTTGACATGCTTTGTTAAATGATTTACCACTGCAAGCTTTCGCTATGTGCCAGGCACTGGAGTAGGTGCTTTTACTTGAAATCCTTGCAGCAGTTTTGTGAGGCAGGATTTGTTCAGCGTGTATGATAGAGGAGGAGAGTGAACGCAGAGAGGTGAAGTGACTTGCCCAAAGTTGCACAGCAGTCGTAAGTGCCAGACTGGGAGTTCATACCCAATCTTTCTTCTGCCACAGCTGCTTGGGTGACCTTGACCCTGGGTCCTGCAACTAGCTTGCAGTCACCAGAGGCATCTTGGAGCATCTCTAAAGAAAAACAGGTTACCATGGGCTTGGATGGCCATTTTCTTTGTAGCCAAGATGAGTTCTGTGGGTCCAGTCCCACACTGAACCCAAGTGCTCTTGTGACTGGTGATACAAATCCATGAACATCTGGCTTCGGAGGCCACTGGGCCTGATTAGCTGGGGTCACAGACTCTGCCATGCTTTGCCAACACCCTTCCATGGCAGCTGTCCCAGGCAGGCAGCCTGCATTTTCCAACACAGGGAAACGCAGTGTCTCTGCAGGAGGAGTGCTGGAGGGAGGGCGAACCAGTGCTTCTGCATGGATTGTGAGCCAGAGGGCCATACAGCGGGGCATTGTCCCCATGCCGGCTTTTGGCTTGCAGTTTTTCTTGATGGGTTCCCTAAATATTTGGTAGCACATGTTAAAGACAAAAGTTGTGTAATTGCAAAATCCCATTATAAGGAAAACACAGTATGATTGTGCTCAGGAGCATATTTGCATATGCATCTAGAATCAATGGGTATGGAAATGCTCTAGTTAAAGGCATTCTTCCACATAGGAAGCTGATCCCTTATCTCTGAAAATGTTAGACAGTACACAGCCTTGGTCATTTTTACCTTGCTTGACTCCTGAGAGTGGGCATGTGTGATAGTGATTGATGTCTGATATAACTGTGTCCTGGAAACGTGACTGTGACCCGGCAGAGAGTGAAGGAGGCAGACCCTGGAGGTACAGTGGTCTGTAGGCAGTTTGGGAAACAACACATCCTCCACCCCTCAATGGAAATGGCCTGCTGCTGGCATCAGCCTTCCTCGTCTGACTTAGCCAGTTCTGAGCATACAGGTGCAGAGGAGTGGCACAGCCCAGAATCCTGTTAGCAATCTGGAGTCCCAGCTCAGGACTGAGGCTGGGTACTAGTGAGCTGGTGTGGCCTGTGGTGGTGTGGCCCTAAAGCCTAAGGATTTTGACAAGCATCGCCATGAGACTTGAGACAAGCCATTGGATCTCGTCCAGCTCTAGTTTCTGACACTACCAACCTGACTGGATGGATGGTTTTGGGGGTGAAAATCCACGATGGTGATTGTACATTGAGGAGGTGCAGGGTAGAGGCACGATCCATTTCATTTCATACATGCCCTTCAGCCCTATGTAGGTGGTAGAGGCCTGGGGCTGACAGGAAGGGGACAGATTGTGACTGTGAGAATTTCTTAAGAATTTTTTTTTCCTTTGAGTTGGTGGGGAATAAAGGAAGTTAAAAAGTATATTTGCTTAATTTTAAAAAATCCCTTATCTTTTAGCAAATAGTAATTTTATGACTCAATCAAGGTATACATACTTTCCACATTTTTAAGTTATCGTTTCAGAATATTTGCAATTAGAGGAAGAATCACTCCTGATCTCGTAGCCCCGTGAGCATTGTGGGATCGAGATGCCCTGCGTAATGGACTGGCCCATGCCATGGGTACATTTTAGTTTCATCTGGTCTTTCCCCACTTCTTCTACCCCACCAACAACTTACTTGGGAAATGGACCCCTATGGTCTTAGGTGCTGCTGGCAGGCCTAGTGCCGCCTGCCCACTGGGCGCCATCGTCGGGTCACAGCCCTGCAGCACGACGAGAAAAGACAGAGCAGAGAAGGGCATGAGGAGGTAGGAAGTGGGCGGAGGAAATGGTGGGGGCCCTACACATGCACACTTGCACACTGTGTGCCTGCCTCTGCCTTACTAGGACTTGGCATATTAAAAACATTATCCCCGAGTCCGTTGATGGTTTCTAAAGAAATGAATTGGCATGCGCCTGTTTTGTAAAAGGGGTTGCGCCCTTGCAACCAAGTCTGTGCTTACACATCTGTGTGCTCCGCTCCTGTCTTGGCTGCCACCTTCAGCAAGGGTTTTGGCCTCATAGAACACTGGAAATACCAGGTGAGAATCCCAACAAGGGGAATGCCTGTGTGAAATCATTCTTACAGGACCTTGTGGTCAGGTATACTGTATGTACATGGCTTCGTTGGCCTTGCTCAGGGTGAAGAGGGATGGAATAAAGATGAAAATAACCAGCCCCTGGCCCCTGTACCTGGCTTGCTGTGGGATCCCACTTTCAGCTGAGCCTTCTCTGAGTCTGTAGAGGGCACTCCTGTCACTGCAGCCTCACTTTCTGACTTGAAAAGTGGTGGTCTTTTCAGATATTTTTACAACTCGAAGTCTGAGAATCAGCCTTTAGAGGATTTCAAGGCTGGCATTTTAGGCAGTAGGCGGCGCCTGTTTTTCTTACAGGGTTTAACCAACATGACCACCTTATTTCAGCCAGCATGGCTCAGGACTCTCCTGCCTGGGTGGCTTGGGAAGGGGCTGCAGAACAGGTTGGATTTCCTTCTTTGAAAGGTTGGTTCATTTCTGTTCTTGTTGCATAAAGAGCTTCAATTAGATGTACACCAGGCCCTGCCTGGCTGCGTTCACTGCCTACCTCTGTTGCTCTCACTTGTTTTTTGTGGTGCTCGGTCTGCCTGGCCCTCAGTCCTGCCTGAGGCCCTTACTGACTGACTGACCCAGGGTTCCCACAGCTCCACATCAGACTGCATTGCAGTTACTTGGGTGTCTCATAGCCCCACCTGAACATAAGTCCCTAGAGGGCAGGTATCTTGGGTCTCTCTGCAATCAGTGTCTGGCCTCCTGGGATAAGAGATGAGTTAGTCCATTTGTTCACGAGTAATGTTTGGGGGTGTAGACTTGCTTCCTAAACTGGAATGGAGGAGAGGCACACCAGTGACCTAGTAAACGCAGACCTATTCGTGGGAGGAGATGGGTTCTCCTGTGCAGCGGGTCCCATCCTTCCCCTCCACCATGATTTGCCTGACCACTGCTGTGTTTTGGTGTTAGTGTTTTTCCCGTGAGAATGACTTTCTCCCGTCTGTGACCCGGAAGCAAGTTTCAGCCAGTGCTAGACATATTAGGCCCCTGGTCAGCACAGCAGAGTACAGCCTGTGTGTGATTCAGATCTGACCCACCACTGTCCTTGTTAATATGAAGTTTTTTAATTTAATTTTATTTTATTGGGGGCACTTACAGCTCTTCACAATCTATACATACATCCATTGTGTCAAACACATCTGTACATCTGTTGTCATCTTTCTCAAAACATTTTCTTTCTCCTTGAGCCCCTGGCACCAGCTCTTCTTTTAATAAAGTTTTATTGGAACAGAGTATGTCCATTCGCTAACACATACAGTCCATAGCTATTGCCATGTTATTCATGACAGAAACGGCATACTTACAAAACCTGAAATATTTACTGCTTGGCCCTTGACAATGGGAGTTGCTGGCCCCTGATTTAGATGGTGAGTCGTCTTTGTCAGCCCGACAGTTTCCAGCTTTGCAGTGATTGACTGTAAAACAGTATGATAAAGAGGGGACACATGCGGAGAGGGCTGAAAAGCCCACTCCCCTCACTGAGCATCTTGGAGACCTTGGGTAAATCATTTAGGTCAGGGGTTCTCAAACTGTGGCCCACAGGCCCTATGTGGCTCGCCGAGGTTATTTATCCTGGCCGCCGGGTGTTTTTGCCCCGTTGTGTTTTTTACTTCAAAATAAGATATGTGCAGTGTGCATAGGAATTTGTTCACAGTTTTTTTTTTAAACTATAGCCTGGCCATCCAACGGGTCTGAGGAACAGTGAACTGGCCCCCTGTTTAGAAAGTTTGAGGACCCCTGATTAGGTTCTGTTAGTCATTTTTTTCATCTGTAAGACTGCCCGCCTCCTGTGAGAACTTCTTGCGAGGCTCAGTCAGGCTGCAGGTGCAGTCACTGCCATTTGCTTTTTCAGGAGGAAGAGGCCAAGAAGCTGGTGAGTGAGGCCATTGGGGCTGGCGTCTTCAATGACTTGGGCTCCGGAAGCAACATCGATCTCTGTGTCATCAGCAAGAGCAAGTTGGATTTTCTCCGCCCCTTCTCGGTGCCCAATAAAAAGGGCACCAGGTAAGCACTTGTGCCCTGCCCTCTGTGGCCCCCTGGATGTCTACATGGCGCTTGGCCGGGTTTTTTGTGATTCTCTCTCACGCTTAGCAAACCATGTGCCCCAGGCCAGCTGACACAGCAACCTTTGATCAGGGCTGCTGTCGGGTATGGCGCCCAGGCAAGCTGAGTCCTAAGCTAGAAATTGTGATCAGGAGTGTTTTTAAAAGAATCCCCTGAAATTCTTTTTTCCCCCCAGGGCAGGCAGAATGGTCTGTGGCTCCTGAGAGGCCACTGTTAACCAGATCCGGTTAGGTTTGGGAGGGGGTCTGCCAGTAAGTCTGTGGAAACTGCTGAGCAGTGATGCCGCCCAGCTAAGCAGCAGGACCCAGTGGAGGTCTAGTGGGTTTGCTGCGCAACACACAACCCTGGAAAGTTTGGAACTGGTGGCTGGCGAGGGCGGGGAACCGCATTGGCGACCTTTGTGGCTGTCCAGCTACTTCCATCCCAGTGTGGCAGGGCTGAGTGGGTGTGCAGCACACTGGGCCTTCCACACGCATCCAGCAGCTCCCCTCTGGAGTGCTTGCTCTAACCCCTCACCAGATCAGGTGTAATTCACAGGAAGGAATAGAGCATTGAAAGCCAGCGGTATTCATTGCCACGGCCCCTCCAAGTTGTGAAAGCTCACCGGTGTCATCCTGCCACTGAACGACCCAGCAGCTGTGGATCAGTGGGGGGTGGGAGAAATGGCCAGCAGCTAAGTTGGTGACTTTGGGCAAGTTGCTCACCCTGCCTTTGAAACGATAAGGCTGGACTAGTGGTCAGTAATGATAACAGGCGGTCCCTGGGCTTTCGCAGGAAGTGGGGAGCATCTTGAGCAGCTCAGGGCTGGGGTGGGGGAAAAGTAGGCTTTGCTGCTTTTCAGCTCCCTGAAGACCTGAGCCAGACCCCTGTCTGGTGTACGTCACCAGGTCCGTATGGGTACAGCGTGGCTTGGGCAGCCTGTGCTAAAGTGGGGAGGGGCTGGGGAGGGTAGGAGAAGAGTGGGAGGTGCTGGTTACACTCCATCCTTCTATTCAGACTGCACCTCGCAAAGTGGGGAGAATTCGAGAGGTCTTAGTTGAAGCCTTGCAGAGTAGTGTGTGTGTCTACAGGGAGCTGTGTGGGACTCGAGCCCTTGTCCAAAAGCAGTATATCTTACTGTACTAAATGTTGGCAGAGGAGTCAATACACATGTAGAAAAAACAGACTCCACTGGCCAGCTGTGAAGATTCAGCAAGGTGATATGGAAGGTGCTAGGCATGTGGTCCAGGTGCGGTGGTCTGACCTCTGGACCAAGCTGCCCCCTCCAGCCCCACCCTCACCCCCACCAATGCCCTGTGGCTGAGGGCACTCATACCAGCAGTTCACATGTTCTCTCAGATCTTACTGTCAGCATTTTGGTCAGCACTTGCCTGACTGGGACACTATCTGCCTTAGTGGTGAGGGGCGTTTCCCCAAAGTGTCAGAGGACCTGGCTCTGAAATTATTATTGCTTCCCCTGACTCTCCACAGCCCTGTTTTGCAATCCTTTGTTGCTTAAGGTTGAGCCCTCCCTGCATGCTGCTGAAACCACGAGGTGAAGAGCCTCTTGTGTATCCAAATCTCCAAGAGACACAGAGATGTGTTGCAAATGAGTCAGGAATGTAGAGGCCTCTGGGGACACAGGCTCCAAGTGTGTTGGTTGGCCAAGCTTCCAGGATGGTGAGGATTGAGAGACCTCTTCAAGTAAAGGGTGGGGAGGGGAGGGGGAGACTGAGGGGCCCATTTTAAAAAGATGAGACCACTTGGGCTCTTTAAGGATAGAATGTGACAACAACAAGGCATGTAACAAATAAAGGAGAAAGACTTGGATAAGCATTTCACCAAAGAGCATATTCAAATGAGCGCCAAACACCTGAAAAAGATGCTCAGTGTAATTAGCCATCAGAAATGCAAATCCAAACCACAGTGAGATGCCATTTGGTTCCCAATAGGATAGCTAAGATTAAAATAAAATAAAACAAACTAAAATGTAATCAAAGGAAATCTGGGCCTTACTCATTGCTGGTGGGAAGTAAATAGTAGAGCATTATGATGAATATCGTGGTGGTACCTCCATCAACTAAAAATTGAACTACCACATGACCCAACGGTTGCAGTCCTAGGTGTATACCAAGAGTCTTGAAAGCACAGAGACTCGGGCCTGTCCACCAGTGCTTATTACTGCACTTGTCACAAGAGCCAAGGAGGAAACAACTTCCTGCCTGAATGGCTAAGCACCGTTTATGTGCGTGCAGCGGAACCCTCGCCGTGGAGAAGGGAGTCCTTGGTACAGGCTGCAGTGTGGGGGCGGGGGGGTCCTCGAATCCCCGCTGTGTGAAATAAGTTAACCACATAGGAAGGCACTTGAGAGCATTTTGGAAACATTTCATTGTCTTAAGTTGACTTTTCCACAGAACTCTTTGAAGCCCACTTGTATATGGGGAGAAAGACAGGGAATTCCTGTTCTACCTTGTTCGCAGAGTTGCTCTGAGTCGGCATCGACTCGACGGCAGTGCGTTTGGTTTGGCTTTCGGTTTTGTATTTTATGACCTCACTTCTGAAAAAGATAAGCAGCAGCAGATGCTTCGAGACAGAAGAACTGGATGGTGCCTGACCACCTTCACTGAACTGATTCCATGGAGGGGGGAGTCCGGATCAGAAGGGGGGAATACAGACTAGAATTCCAAAAATGTCCTGGAATTCCCACTCTCTGGTCCCTGAAGAGTAGATGAACTCCTGAAACGATTGCCCTGAGGTAATCTTTAACCCTTAAACCAAAATTAACCCCTCCAGTCTTCTGACAATCAAACAGTAGCCTAACGAGTAAAAACATCTGCTGGGGGCAGAACGCCCTTCCGAGAAGCACCTAGGTGAGACACGTGGCCACAGGCTCTGGCGGGCTTAGCTAGGGACTTTGAGGGCCTGTGGGTTCTGTGAGGAAGGGAGGAACAACCTAGGAGACAGGGGCACCGGGGATGTGATCAGTGTGGTTAGAGGATACTTCACGCAGAAACCCTCAGATGGGTGTATGTTGTGTGGTATATATTCTTAACACCAACAACATTGTTTTTAAAATAATAATCAAGTGTGGTGGGGATGGGAAGATAATGCAGAAATGAAGGCAAGCTGCTGCTTGCTGCCCAAGCTCTTGGACTGGACACAGCTGTGCAAGTCTCCCTTTTTTCTGCATCTTGCTCCTTTGAGTCCAAGTGCCCTTTCGGGGAGGGTGGGTTTCCAAGAACCCCAGGGCTGTGGCACAGCTGGCCGGTATGCGCGGTTGAGATGTGCCCTAGCGAGGGACAGGCCTGAAGAATAGTTGGGTACATGCTGCTCTTTGGCAGTCTCGGGATTCGTGGCCCTGCTGGGAGAATTAGCAGTCAGCCCTGTGCGCAGCTTCCCACCAAGGAAACGTATTAGATCTGTTGTCCTGGTGACCCACCTTGTCCCTGCAGGACAGTTAACTCTTGAGTCTTGAGGGTGTGGTCTAAAGTGACAAGTCCACAGTTTGGTTGTGGATCATTTTATATTGTTTATACTTGTAGGTACTTTAAAAATCCTTAAGGCAATAATTCTGTCATTTTTGCTGCTTCACAAGAAACTTAAAATGAAGACTTGACCTCCTGCTGGTTACCGAAAGATACTTTACTGAGACTGAAGTTTAAAGTCAGTGTCTGCTGTGTTCTGGTGCCTTCCAGGGGTGCGAGGTGGGAAAGAACCTTGAGGGGCAGATGCTGTCTCCATTCTCTCGTGGGACTGACACTGTATCTGCCGGGCTCCCGTTTTGTAGCCCTTCAGGGCTGGAGAGAGAGAGACCCTTGGGGAAGTGCAGTTCCTCCCCTGGTCCCTGAGCTGGGAATGAGGAGGGCCAGCCGGGCTGTAGGCGAGCCTGCATGTAGCCAGCACGTAGCTGCTGCTCCTGAACCTCTCAATCCCCTCCCCTCATGGCATGGCACCCTCAGCGACATCTCATGCGCTTTTGTTTCCTCTCACTAGGCTTGGCCGGTACAGGTGTGAAAAAGGGACCACTGCTGTCCTCACCGAGAAGGTCACTACCCTGGACATTGAGGTCCTGGAAGAAACTGTCCAGACAATGGACACTTCGTGAATGTGCCGGCATAGGCTGGCTGGTTACTGCTCTAAAAGGCGGGGCACCCAAAGGCCCCTCTCTGGAAGACATTCGTTTGACCAGTGTGTGGTAAATGAAACTCAATAAAAACCAAATTGGGTGGCTAAGGCTTGGGGCTGTGTGTTTTTGTTTTGTTTTTTTTAGGTCTGCTAAGGCCCATTGCCCCAGCCCCTTCTAGGGATGGGAGTTCACCTGTACCTGCCTAGGTCATGGTGGGGCAAGGGTGATGCACCCTTCTAGACCTGGAGGCGTGCACCCCCACCTTAGGCTATCCGGGGGGAGGGGGGATGTCCCCAGTTGTTTTTGTTTGAAGTTGAGTGAAGCACAGCAAGCCAAACAAGAAGGAATAGAGTAGAGTCTTCAAGTGTGATTGCTAGTGCCCGGCTCAGTCCTAAGTGCCAAGAAAGGAGGAGGAGGAGTGGGGCTGACTTTGCTGCAATGGAGCGGCATGTATTGGGGAGTGGGGGGAGGCATGTATGCTCCACTTTGGTGCCACAGAATGCTTGCGGGGTGGTGGTGGTGGTGGTGTGGGTGTTACTCTTTTGTAATAATTAAGACACAGCGATTTCACAAACAACCTGGTCTGGTGAATGGTTGACGTATCCCCAGAGGGTCCCGCTAGTCAGACAATGGTTACCATGCTGCTAAAAGTGGATCGAGTAGAGAAGGTAAGTTCCTGTGTTCTCAGGCGACTCTGCCCAGAGAACCACCATAGGGGTTCTGAGAGCCTGAAAGGAATATTTGCTAAGCGTTTGTCTGGGCCTAGAACAGCTTTCGGTGTTAAGTGCTAGGCAGGGGGAGAGCATTGCTGGGGACACAGGAAAGAGGCCCGGCCCCATGAGGCTTCCAGAGCGGGCCCACTGGCAGCTGGTCTCCCCTGCTACAAGTGCTAGAGTCTGGTGGGGGAGAACAATGGGATTATGTAGGGCCCAACTTGGCTGAAAGCATCCCGATCTCTAGAGCGCTTAAAAAATTTCCAGGGCGACTCAGGATGCCACCGGGCCTGGGAAATGGTGTTTTTAAAGGCTTCTCGAGATGATGCTACCAACTTGGTTGTAACTTTACTGGTTTGGAAGGATGAAACTTTAAAAATGCCCATGAATCACTCAGAAAAGTCACCCCTTTCCCCCTTTTATTGCAAACACGGAGAACCAGTACAAAGCCAAGGTTGCATCTGAAGAACAGCTCTCAGAACCTAGTGTTCACAGCAGAACCCAATCCACGGCACCTGGAGACAGTGGTGCCCTTGTTCCAAGTCCTTTATTCCCATGGAGGCCTGGTCAGTGAGCTCCCAGGGTCAGCCAGTGGGTCAGAAACACCCCACAACAATGGGGTGGGGTGGTTGTGCCCAAGTCTAGAGGGCTGAACTGTCATCAGGTCAGTGGACGTCCCTGTAGACCGTGGGAGTATTGATTTGAGTGTAGAGACACAATGCGAACGATTTCCTTCAGAGAGTGAATTCACATTTATAAATTAAGCTTCACAGTTACTCCTGTTTGGGAGCAGAAACCAGTGAGCAGGCAGCTGGCCTCCTGCAACAGCGCAGCCATACAAGGGTTCTTGACTTTCACAATCTGTGGGCGTCAGCTTTGGGAAGGGGAGCGAGCGGCTACTGCTGATCGAGCATCTATGATGTGCTAGGTAACTTGCAGGTTTTACTTCAAATTCTGTCAGCAACCCTGGAGGGTGGGGAAGTGTTAGTCCCATTTTATGGATAAGGAAGTAAAGGCCCAGAAAGGTTAGGGAAGCCGTCTTCAGTCCACACCAGGAAGTTACTGAACCAGAATTTGTAGAGAGGACCGACCTTAGATAGCACTTGTACTGCTACCCAGTGCTTCTGAGGCCTAACACTGCCCTGGAGAGGAAGTCTCGCACGAAGGCAGAGGGCCAAGTGTAGCTATTGCTCTGGAGGAGGTGGCGAACGGGCCTGCAAGGAAAAAGGGGCTTTCCCATAGCGTTTACCCGGAAGCTGTGCCGGGTGCTGGATTCTCACGGTGTTCATCAAGTTAGAGTGTAGATTAGAGCATTAGCAAAATCTCCACTCCAGGGGGAAGAAACCCCCAACTTTCCACTTTATCCCTTTATAATAGGCAACACTAAGCAGGCACAGATTGGCTGTTGGAAAAAATAACTAAGAACTAAACTGAACTTGGTACTAACCATAGTCAAAGGCTCACTAAACATGGCAGACAACTGCGATTCTCACTGGAGAAAGGCTGAGGAGTCATGGAAGGGATCTGCCAAAGGATTCACATTATGACCCAGACAGAGGCACTTCAGGGCCTGCCCAGCCGCCCAGCCTAGATTGTCCACAGCCGATACAGAACTTTCCAGGTCTGACCGTCAATGACACGAGGGCTGCGCCCTCCCCAGAGGTGGTCTGCAGCATTGCTGCTGTCAAGCCCGGTCCCCTCGGAAGACCCCCTTTGTCTTAGTTCTAGGCTACCAGGCAGCCACTTCGGAGCTAGGAAGAGTCGGGCAAAGTGGTACTGGCTTGTCCCAGGGCACGGAGCAGCTGTGTTCAGGTGCTGGACATCCAGACGTGCATCTGTTTGGCCACCTGGTGCACATACCCGATGTCAGGTCTCTGGGTGGGGTCAGGGTAGATGCACATGCTGACCAGTTCTCGTAACTGCAAGGGAGAGAACGGGCACGTTAATCTCAGGAAAGCAGCCTCATGCTGACCAGTTCTCGTAACTGCAAGGGAGAGAACGGGCACGTTAATCTCAGGAAAGCAGCCTCGTTGAGACAGCGCGCTCAGCACTGTTGCCTGCGTTGACCATATCTCATCCCTGGAGCCACGAGAAGGCTGTCGGCTGTACAGTCACCGAGGGAGAGGCTGGCCTTGACACCCGGAGGGGGGGGGTGCCTCTAAGTAACTATCCTCCCCGCCACCGAGCAGAGCTGTTCTCCGCTGTCAGTCACACGAATACCCAAACCAGAGGACAAAACTCGAGGAAGGGCTTATTGATCATAATAAATGCATTAACATGCAGCAGGCCTGCAGCCTGCCCACCCCCTGGCCTCTTTATTGTGCTCATGAAAGACAGAGCTTTTAATTACACAGACACTGAAGGCTGCTCCGCCTCGAGGTGGGGGAGGGGTGCCTTGAGCCTCTGATCGCCTCATGTTCTTCTGATAGCCAGAGTGCCAATTATTTTAATGGTAATTAAAATAATGACCTCAAAAAGCAGCCTACCTCTTAACTTGCCTCCCAGCCCACCACACACTTTTGACATTTAAATACCTGCTGCTGGAAGGGCTGCTTCCCCCAGCAGGGGTCACGGGCAGCAGCAGGGAGAGGGGGCACCCTGGGTAATGGTGGTCACAAGTAGCCTCCAGTTGCCATGCTCAGGGATGCAGGGAAGGGTGCAGAGGTCATTTTAGGGCCCAAGGGCCACCGCACAGGCTGCCCCAGGAGGTGCTGCATTCCGGGTCCATCTGGATGGGGACTTTGCTACAGAGCCTTAGGACAGACCCTTCAATCTGCACATATGCTTTTTGGGGCTCCCAGGCTTTATAAACACCCCAGACATGACAGCTGAGCCCACAGCCTGCTGGCGACTCCTGGAGTCAGGTTGCCCAGGGATGAGACCGGCCTTTCTGCATTTTACAGCGTCCCAGGAAGGAGGCTGGTGAAAATGCCCCAGGAAACCACTTCTGGGCAGAGTCTGCTTGTCCAGCACTGCTCACTGGTCATCAATGAGATTCAGAAGTCTAGGGAAACAAAGCCGAATGAAAATAAAGCAGCTTCCTTATTTCCATTTCAAATAAATGGTAAGACTTCGGGAGCTTCCGTGCCAGGAAGCACCCCTGGCTCCCGCACAGACCCACCTGTGAGTCAGGCTTACGAAGAACTGGGCACCTTGGCGAGCAATTGCTCGGGAGCAGGATGGCTGATTAGAGGTGGGGAGGGGAGGGGGGGGCTGAGGGCGTCATCCGTGGATTTGCCTATTTCAGCTTTATAACAGATTGCAGGTCCTGTTTACAGACAGGAGACTGAGGGACTGCAGTGGTTTGCGCCAAGTCCATCCATGGCTTCTTGTGTCTTAAGTAGTACTAGATTCTACACTTTTACCCAAAAAAGGTAAAATCAAATACTTTGGTCAAGAAATTAACAAGTTTTCCCTTTTCTACTAACTTCAGTGTTAGTGCCTACATGCTTCCTTCCAAGGTATATGAGGGGGCTTTAAAAGGTTTGTGGGGAAATCCCTTGGTCTTTCCATTCCGTTTCCCACACACTTTCCCAACCCCTTTCATATGTAAGAATTCTGGAAGGCCTGTGGGGCAGGCTGCGGTACAGCTTGTGGGAAACGTGCCCTGACCCTACCATGGGCCTCGGAACCTACAAAGCACTGCCTCGAGCACTAGATACCCGGGAGAAGTTGGTGGACCTCCAGCCACAGGGTTAGAGCTCATCAAGGGACGCAGCCTCCGGACAGGCATGCCAAGGACCAGGCCCACGGAGGACAAGGGTTGCACCTCCCAAAGCCTGTGGAGTTGTCGGGTGTTGATTTCGACAAGCTGCAGGGCGGGTGACTCCCTCCAAGCTGCTGGGTGATCAGCTACTGAAGTGCCACCAGAAACGGGGTGGCCCAGTGGCCGGTGTGGTATGCAGGCTCAGGTGGATCATTTGAGTTTGAGTCCTGGCTACACTTCCCACAAGTCGGGTGACCTTGAGGAAGTTCCTTTGCCCATTTGTGTCTTGCTTTCCCAGGTAAGCTGAGTGGAGAGAAGACGCAACATGGGGACTCAACAATGATGTGAGCCTTGGCCAGTAGTCCTGTGGGTGGGCTGGTGGGCGTGGGAAGGGCTCATGCCCCTCGTCGCCCCCCACAGCGTTGCTCTGTGCTACATTCTGTGACTGTGACGGCCCGGTGATGGTGGGAATGGCTCAGTACATGTTAGCCTGACGCTAGGCTGAGCACACTAAATGCATTAAAAAAAGAAAAGCAGATTCCCATTCATAGTGCCCCTACAGGACAGGGCTAAACTGCCCCCGTGGGTTTCTGAGGCAGGAATTCTCGATGGGAGCAGAAGTCTCATCATTTCCCCATGCCGCATGGTGGTTTTGAACCCAAGGCATGATCTACTCTGCCAGTAAGAGCTCCATACGCCTCAAGGCTCCCGCGTGAAATGCTTGGCACTCATTGACCCTCACCCTGATCCTCTGAGGTGGTGGTGAGTGGGTTCTGACCGGGTGCTCTAGGTGCAACAAAGTGAAACACTGCCTGGCCCTGCACCCTCCTCTACCAAGCTCAACGTCCTTCTCCAGGGACTAGTCCCCCGGAAAATGGCCGAAGGATGGGAGAAAGAGTCTTTGCATCCTTGCTCCTCAGGAGCATTCCAGTTGCACT